GTCCGATTTGTTAATCACGAGTATGATTACAGACAGAATTGGACGACACGAAGTACTGTTACCAGTTAATCAAAACTATGACAAAATTTGAGAAAAAAACTAGACATTGGTCGTACGTTTTCCTAAAAAAACCAGCAGTTAACTCGGCGAAATGCGAGACAACAGCTCGCGCTCATGACGCGTTCTGTCCACTTACGTAGGCATGACGAGTCAACTTTCCCTTAAACTGTTCTATTACTGTCCAATTACAAGTTTGACGTGTACCGGTCCTATTACTGCTGAAATCAATCGGGCTGGTGATAACTAATGACGTTCGAGAAGTTTGTTATAGTTTTGATTAATGAGAGTATAGAGCATGCTGACGACACTGTTGTTCGCTTTGGAAATAAACTTTGGTTTGAAAATTGAAAGTAATGCGTGGGGAATTTAACGGATTCTCTATTATCAAACAAATAGAGGAGCCTTGACTGTGCTCAGTTCTGTTTTAAAGCACCTAGGAAGCGGCTAGGGTACGAAAGAAGTGGGGAGAAACACCCGACTACGTCTGTCAAAAATGTCAAACCATCAAAGTTCAAAAACCATCAAAGTTCACATTCCGCAATAGTTTACAAACTTATTAATTTAACTCTTTCGCCTGAAGCCTTTTTTAGTCTGAAACACTCGACTATGTCTGGTGTTTCTCCCTACACTTTCGTTTATAAGCGTGCAGTCTACTCACGAAAGATTGCAATTCAATCAGAATTAGACAATACAAATTTGCAAGCTCACGAATAAAATCGAATAACTATCTCAATGCTTAGTAATACTACATTAACTTCGTTTACTTCCGTTTTGGCCAGCCTTACTTTGTCTTACCTTGAGAAATAAATTCAAAAGCGATTCTTTACACCGTTTCCCTATTATGGAAATAAAAAGGTTCCCGATTTCCTATGAAACCTCGTGTCAGTTCTCATCAACGACGAAGCTCTGTCCGTAAAAACAGGAAATACACTGCTCGATTTCTACGAACTCGCCACGTCATCAACATTTTCGGCTTTAACAATGTTACGAACTCTTGCC